GGTGCCCCAGGTACAGATGGGGATGCCCCACGTGGGGATACCCTGGGCACAGGTGAGGGTGCCCAGATACAGGTGGGTATGCCCAGATACAGGTGGGCATGCCTCAGGTAAGGGTGGGGATGCCCCAGGTACAGGTTGGGATGCCCCAGACACAAGTGGGGATGCCCAGGTGGGATGCCCATGCACAGGTGAAGGTGTCCAAGCTCAGGTGAGGGTGCCCAAGCCCAGGTGAGGGTGCCCAGGCCCAGGTGGGTGCCAGCTGCCAGATTTGCTGCCCCAGCGGGGCAGGAGCTGTGTCTGACTCTGTACATTTGGCTGGAGGGGGCTCTGGGGGTCTCACGTGTTCGTGGCCCTTCTTTGGGGTATCCAGACGCAGCTACCATGGGCACTGCTGTGCCAGGGGCACTGGGGGTGGTGTGGAGGGGGCAGGTCCTGCCAGCAGCACCCTCTGGGTGGAGAAGTGGATTTAAGGAGGGAGTTGGATACAAGGAGGGAATTGGATGGAAGGAGGGAATTGTTCACACTGAGGGTGGGGAGGTGCTGGCACAGGGTGCCCACAGGAGCTCTGGCTGCCCCATTGCTGGAGGTGTCCCAGGCCAGGTTGAACAGGGAGCAGTCTGGGATAGTGAGAATGTCCCTGCATGTTGGACTAGATGGCCTTTAAATGTCCCTTTGCTGATGCAGTGTTTGGTCATAGATTAAACTGGATCTCAGAGGTCTTTCCAGCCTGATTGATTTTGTGATTCCAGCACAAACCATGCACTCAGGAGCTGTGTGCTCTGCCACAGACACCCCATACACCGTGTGTTTGTGTCTCTGGTGTGTGTCCATCCTCCCTCAGTGCTCAGGGCACTCTGGGGGCAGCTTTGACCTGGAATTCACTGCAGGGCTCCTCCCTTGCAGATTATCAGCTGACGAGCGCTGAGCTCTCCTCGCTGCCGGCCTTCAGCTCACCTGGAGGGCTGTCCCTTGGCAACATCTCTGCCTGGCAGCAGCAGCAGCAGCAGCAACAGCAGCAGCAGCAGCAACAGCAGCAGCAGCAGCAACAACAGCAACAGCAGCAGCAGCAGCAGCCGCAGCAGCAGCCGCAGCAGCAGCACCTGGTCCCGGTGTCACTAGGAAACTTAATGTGAGTGACACCAGAGGGAAATGGGCAGTTCCTCTGGGGGTGCCACACCTGCAGAGCCCTAGGGAGCTGGGAGAGCCCTCTGTGTTCTCCAGGCTCCCAGAGGCAGGCCCTGGTGGGTTCATGCTGTGTTCCTGGGGGCAGGAGCTGTGTGCCCAGAACAGCTGGGAGCTTTGGGCAGTGCTGTCCCTGTGGCTCCAAGGGTGACCCAGAGTCCCTGGCTGGGATCAGGGTATTTGGGGATGCTCCCAGAGCCTTATCCTTCTGCCTGGCCACTGTGGGATTGATGCCTGCACTCACCTGGGGGGAGCTGGGAACAGGTAGGGCCGGATGGGATGGACATTGCAGGATAGGGTGCCTGGAATAGAGGAAAGTGGCTTTTAAAGTTGCAAAAAGATTGATTTTCTCCAGGGCAGAAAATACAGGCACTTCCACCTTAGAGCAGGATTTCTGGTGTGGATCTGCTTTTACTCTGGAATAAAGCACCCACACACAGTCAAAAGAAAGATTTAAGCCACTTGCCCGTGATCACATTGAGACCATGGGACAAAGAAAGGCAGGAATTTAAGAGGGAGNGGCAGGACAGGGACAGGGACAGGGCTGTGCCTTTGTGAGGACATTCATTGCCATGTCCTTAACCCCCAGCACGGCCAGGGCAGGCTGCCAGCAGGATGTGTGCCAGGAAAACCTTCTCCTGCAGCCCCCCAGAGCTTTAGCACTCAGAGCCCTGCTAATCTCCTTGCCCAGGCCACTGGGGGCACCCGGGGCTGGGCACTGTGTGGGTGCAGGGGCAGCAAATCCTGCACAGCCAGGTGCTCTCAGGTGGCCAGGGCAGGGTGCCAGCATCCAGCTTTGTCCCAGGAGAGTCTCCCTGGCCGTGGGGGAGCTCTGCAGAGTGTGTGCCCAGGCTGGGAGCCCTCAGTTCCTCAGTTCCACCCTGGTGCCAGGCGTGGTTCAAGCTGGGCACTGCCCCAGTCTTCACAGGGTGACGTGTGCTGGGTGCTGGGGATTAGAGTCAAGCCTCTTGAGTCTGATTTAAACCAGATCAGCAGAGACAGCCCAGATTATCTGCCTTGTAAACAGGGCTGAATCTGACCTATAGATCTGCCCACATAACTGCCTGGAAAACCCAGGGGGGAAGCTTGGGGTGCTCTGGTGCAAGGGCAGAATTTTTCCACGGTGAACCTGTTAATACCTGAGTCACCAAAACCTTGGGAGGGCACCGAGCCAGCAGGCTGCTGAGCACTGGGCTTGGAGTTTAGGGATATTCCAGAGTCCCTTTAAAATCCTGAGGCCAATGCTTGGTGTCCTCAGCTTCCCTTTGAGGCAGGGGCTTGTTCCTGGCCACCAGAGCTGCAGGGAGATGTCAGCTCTGCTGGTTCTGGTTTGCTTTGGTGCCTTTGTCACTCCAAGGCTCACTCTGAAAGCAGTGAGGAATTGTCTGAGGCCTCCTGGTGCTTTCCCCTTCCATGCACTCAGGGCATGGCTGGTGCTGCTGGCTGAAGCCCAGCCATGACCTGCACATGAGTGTCAGTAGCTGGTGTGGTTTGTACTTTGCTTTTTTTGCAGTGTGGAATGGCCAGAGGATCAATCCTGCCTGTCCCACGCTCTCCATGCTCAGCCCCAGTGCATGCCCAGGGGGTTTGGGGGGGCCAAAACCCCTGAAAATGACCCAGTCCAGCCATCTGAGCTTTAACTTCCTCCCTGTTTGCTCCCACAGCAAAACACACAGCGCTTGGGTGTCTCTCAAGCAACTCACTCTCTGACCACACCAGTCGTGTCCGTGGCCACTCCGAGCCTGCTGACACAGGGGCTGCCCTTCTCTGCCATGCCCACAGCCTACAACACAGGTAAGACTTGGCCAGGACACAGGTGAGACATGGCCAGGGCAGGGATCTGACACAGACAGGGCATGGCCAGGACAGAGATCTAAGGCGGGACATGGCTGGGGGAGAGATCTCAGCAGGTGAGACATGGTCAGGACACAGGTGAGACATGGTCAGGACAGAGATCTGACACCGGTGCCAGGGCAGATCTGTGACACAGGTGGGACATGGCCAGGGCAGAGATCTCAGCAGGTGAGACATGGCCAGGACAGCTCTGACACAGGTGAGACACGGCCAAGGCAAAGCTTTAAGCAGCGCATGGCCAGGGCAGAGCTTTGACACAGGTAAGACATGGGTAGGGCAGAGATCTCAGCAGGTGGGACATGGCCAGGACAGAGCTGTGACACAGGTGGGACCTGGCCAGGGCAGAGATCTGACACAGACAGGGCATGGCTAGGACAGAGCTCTGACACAGGCAGACAGACAGACAGACAGGACCTGTCCAGGGCAGAGCTTTAAGCAAGTAGGACCTGGCCAGGGCAGAGTTCTAAGCAGGCAGGACCTGACCAGGGCAGAGCTCTGACACAGGCAGACAGACAGACAGACAGGACCTGGCTAGAGCAGAGCTCTGACACAGGAGTCAGGGCAGAGCTCTCAGGCAGGACCTGTCTAGGGCAGAGCTCTGACACAGGCAGACAGACAGACAGACAGGACCTGGCCAGGGCAGAGTTCTAAGCAGGCAGACAGACAGACAGGACTTGGCCAGGCCAGAGATCTGATACAGACAGACAGACAGACAGACAGACAGGACCTGGCCAGGGCAGAGCTCTCAGGTGTCTCAGTTAGCCCCAGAGGGAATTGTGCTGCTGCTGAACATCCCTGGGGCTCCCTGAGCAGCTGCAGTGATGCTCCTGGAGCTCTCCACGGCAGCCAGCACATGGTGCAAGGGTTCCACAGAGCTAAAACCAAGAGAAATTCATTGTGTCAGTGGTGAGAGCTCACTGTCATCGCCAGCAGGGCTGTGAGGGCTGGTGCAGCCCAGTGCACTGTGCTGTGGATGTTAATTACAGCTACACCCATCCCCTGGCTCTCAGAGCTCAGGGGGTGTTGTAATAATGACAAAAAAAATCCCTCAAAAAGTTTGGGAAGAATGCAAACCAACCTGCTCCCAGCCACATCTGATTGGGGTGCTGGATTGAAAGCAGCCCCAGGCGACAGTGACAGTGCCCAGACACAAGAATTGCTCATCTCTCACCTGTCAGACCTCCAGCAAGACTTTGAGGCCTTGCTGGCTGCCTGTGCAACTTGTTCTGAGAAAAAAAATTGGCAAAAAATGTCCAAAAGCTGCTTGTCTGGGAGAAGGCAGAAGTGGCAGTTGGATACTCCCTGTCCTAATGAGTAGGTGCAGCCCCAGAGATGCTGGCTGTGCGTGATGGGGCTGCTCTCCTGTGTGACCATGTGGTTTAGCAGCCAGCCAGAGTCCCCAAAATAGGTTTTAATTGAGGCCTGTGCATTGCTCAGAGCAGAGGAGCCTGAATTTCTGCTCTCTGCAGTTATTTTTGCTCTCAGCTGACCATGGGCAGAGCTGTATTGCTGCCCAGGTGCTGTGGGGGCACCACTGTGGGGTACAAACTCTGAA